GTAATGTTGATGTGTAAAGTGGGCGGTCTTATGCTAATGAACTTCAGGAGTCAGTACCCAATTTTGCTATTTAGTTTCAATAAATGCTCTCTTTGCACTGGAGTTTTATGTTCTGAAAGTTACAAAATGAACCCTATTCCAAACACAAAGGAAACTTTGATATGACCCCTTTAGACAAAAATAAACTTGGAGAGTGTGAATGTGAGCATCTGTTAGACACTCAAAAATGAAGGCCCAATTCCTCACAGTAACTGTCAACTCCATTTCGACCAATAAAGTCATGACAGTACCGAAAAAAAGTCAAAAATAAGACTCTTTATCCAGCAGATATCCGTTTGAATGAATGATTTGGCAACTTACATTCAGACATGTGACAAGTGAGTGAGTGTTCAGTCTATTCCAGCAATAAATGGTGACTATGTAACGTCAGTGCAGTCTCATCTCCGGTACGGAGACGCGTCACCTCTGCAAGACATCTTTGCTCTTCGAAGCTGATGGGAACAAAATCGTGGATTCACATGAAACAGGATTCAGACCCATTTGGGTTAAAGTCAACTTCATCACATTCTCTCTTTTTGAAAAGGAAGTGCCCTTGGTCACCGTCACTGAAGAAGAGATTTTGGCTTTAGATTTTTATTTCATTCCCTTGCCGTGTAGTTCACGTTGTGTTCTTTAGGGGGCGCTATCATGCTCGCATAAAGCCTGTCCCCTTTTGTGCATTGTTTTGCATGAGTCCCTCATTGTCATGTTCTCCATCGCTGCCTGTAAGGCCCCCCCCCCCCAAAAAAAAGAAAAGCATAATGGTCCGATCCAGGAGTAGGAGTGGCAGATGGGTCAGGGAACATACCATTTTGTGGGGGTGGGGGTGCTATAATTCACTGTGTCGTACAGGAGGTTCTAGCTTGTGGGACAGAGCGGTGAGGACCTTGTCAAACTTCTCATAGCGCTCGGCCTGACTTCCTTCCGAGCCACGACTGCCCCATAAAAGCCTCATCTGAAACTCTGTACAGAAGATTTCCAGAACCTCCTTCCGCTCCTGGAAATCTGTGAGGAGAGAGAGAGAGAGAGAGAGAGAGAGAGAGAGAGAGAGAGAGAATGTGACCACCACATAAACAAAATGAAAACAATACTATCTGCTAGTGCACAGCAATCCAAATCACAATATGTGACACATATATAGCATGTTATATGTTTGGCAACAGTTCTTCTAACCCTAAGTGTGCAGCTTTTCATTTCTTAAACAACCATATAATAGGAAGACGCATCATGGCCATATTCCAGGATTGATTCTTGCATTGTCAATACAAGATCTTGATCAAAAATGTATGAACCTCTTGATGGAAATAACATCACAACATTTATTTCCATCAAGAGGTGCATACGTTTTTGGTCTTGTATTGACAATGCAAGAGTCAGGCACAACACACACACACACACACACACACACACACACATGGCAAGATTTTTAATGTTTTTAAAATAAGTCTCTTCTGCTCACCAAGGCTGCATTTATTTGATTAAAAAACAACAACAACAACAACAAAAAAAACCCACATTAATATTGTGACATATTATTACAATTTAAAACAGTTGTTTTCTATGTGAAATGAAATAGAAAGCTTTTGTAACATTAAACACTACTGTTCAAAAGGTTTGGGGTCAGTAATAATTTTCTATTTTATTTTTTGGGGGAAAGAAATAAAAAAAATCAATACTTTTATTCATCAAGGACTAATTCAATTGATCACATTTCTATTTCTAATAAATGCTGTTCTTTTGAACTTTCTATTCATCAAAGAATCCTGAAGAAAAATTTTACACAATTTTGTTAAAAAATAAAAAGTGTTTTCAACATTGATAATAATAATGAATGGTTTTGGAGCATCAAATCCACATACAGTATTAGAATGATTTCTGAAGGATCATGTGACACTGAAGACTGGAGTAATGATGCTGAAAATTCAACTTTGATCACAGGAATAAATTACATTTTAACATATATTTAAATAGAAAACAGTTAATTTAAATTGTCATAATATTTAACAATATTACTGTTTTTTGTTGTTGTATTTTTAATCAAATAAATGCAGCCTTGGTGAGCAGAAGAGACTTCTTTTAAAAACATAAAAAATCGTACCGATGCAAAACTTTTGACTGGTAGTGTATATATATATAAACAAATGGCAAAAAAACACTAAACATGTGCACCAAATATTTCTGCTTCTGGATCCCAGCTCTCCTGGTCTGTTGTAATGCAGTCAGAGTGTAGTCTAGGCACGGGTGAGGAGTTTACCCTGTAGTTTGCTCTCAGTGTTGGTGCGGTACAGTCCCCCGTGGTGAGCGATGGTGCGCGCCGCCTCCAGGTGACTCATGACCACGTCCACACCAGACTCCACGCTCTCCCACGACTCCAGCGCCTCCCCGGCCGCCACACCGCGCTCCAGCAGGGACAACACCGGCACCACGTGAGGGAAAGAGGTGTTGGAGAGGACACAGCTCTCTGAAACAGACACACAATCATTCATTATAATCAAATATAGAAACCCTCACTCATTACGTCAGGGATTTCAAAGTGGGGTTTGAGAGCCTCTAGGGGTTCATGTTGAAACTGCGGGGGGTTGTTCAGTGTTGTAAATGTGTTCAAATCTAACCACTTCATATCTGTGTGTGGTCTGCATTTTCACTGATTGAGTTTTTAAAAATAAAAATAAAAAAACATTACATGGGATTTCTAGGTGTATGAGTGTGTCTGTGAGTGTGTTCTGCACTGGGGATGGTCTATAGTCTCATCCCTTCATTTGTGTGTGTGTGCATGTGTGTGTGTGTTAGTGCGCATTCCAATTTCAAGTGTGACAAAACTGACAAGGTCTTGCACCACTCCGATGAACACAAAATTGAAAGAAAATGAATTTCGGGTCAAAATGACCCGAGGTGAGGATATTAAATAAAATACATCCATCACATTTAATTTGTTATTAATTTGATTTATTTGATAAAATATTTCAAATAAATCTAAACATGAATTTAAATTCAGTAAAGTTTATAAATAAATAAAAAATTATATTATGATTACATTAATATGAATATTAATTCCATTAATATTAAGAATAACACGCTATATTATCAATGTAATTCTTTTTTTTTATTTTTTATTATTTAATACTGGTCTCAGTTGACTAATATCATTACTAATCGCTAATAAAAAAAAGGATATTAACATTATTTTGTCGTTGTGAAAGGAGTGACGCTCTGCTTTACCTTTCCCATCATTCATGGCCTTGAGGAACGGCTTGAGCTTCTTCTCATAGAGGATGGCCCCTTCTGTGTGTCTCTGTCTCAGGGTTATCCACGTCTGCTCCAGCCGTGAGATCTAAACAACCAGCAGAGAACGGACAATTAGATCCGCTTTCATCACTTTCACTTTTATTCTCCTGCACTGACTCCATTGCTAAACTGTACCGACGGCCCGACGCCGATTCAACGTGCCGAAGTGTGACTAGAGTCGAGTTTCTGAGGACAGGTGTGTGTGTTCTGACCTGCGGCAGCTCCAGGGCTCTCATGACCGCAGCGAACCCGTACATGTTGCCCATGTTGCTCTTGAGTTCAGCCGCCAGCTGGATGGTTTTATGCAGGAGCGCGGCTCTCTCCTCTGTGCTGCCCGTACAGCCCAACAAGTCCACCGCCATCATTATAGACATGGTGTAAAACCTAGAGAGCAAGAGATACAGCTGATCACTCCTAACACTGATACAGTTCAGCTGCAGCGCTACGAGAATCACCAAGGCTGCATTTATTTAATACAAATACAGTTAATCAGCGAAATATCATTTCAATTTAAAATAACTGATTACCGATCTCTGTGCTATTCCTGATCAACTGAAGTCTATGGCATGTGTATGTAAATGTGTGTGTGTGTGTTTCCTAACCTCTCCAGCAGATCCAGTCTCAGCTGGTGTCCATGAGGAAGAGTCAGCAACTCCAGGCCTGAGCTCACTCCCATCATCCTCTGCATCTCCTTGGTAACGCCCAGTATCCTAGCAACCTGCCGATGGACACACAGTTACGAGAGCAATATATTCAACCCCACCCCTTTATTTCCATCCTAATATATTCACAGTCAGAGAACCGAAGACATTTAATTAGCCGCGAACTCGTCGCTTGATGAATGTGGTACACAGCGGTGTGGAAAGAGTTTATTAACCCTGAAGGTTTAGATGTTAATGGCAGGCAGCACCGAGAGCACAAGCGGATGAAAGGTTCGGGTCGCGGTCCAGACTTTATCAGATGTGCCTCACGTAATGTTGCGTTTGGAAAATTAATGTGTAAAGGGAACTTGGCCCTCAAAATAATACTTGTGAAAAATGATTTATTTGATAATAAACAACAATTTGCAGTATTAATCAAGTGTCAATAAGTAAGTTATGTGGTTAAGGGTGCTAACCATGTCAAAACAGAGATACAAATGTGCATTAAGTTGAAACCAGAGCCTGGTCCATAGGATCATGTGACCGGACCTGAAAAAAGTGATCTGCTTATTATTTCTCTACATGTACAGCTTCACTGACTGATTCAATTCAAATACATTACAATTCTATATCATTAAACTTATTATTATTATAACTAAAGTATTATTATATAAAAACTTTTATATTAGTGCTGTCAAATCGATTAATCGTGATTAATCGCATCTAACATAAAAGTTTGAATTAAACAAAAGTTACATCTCCTTGGATGTCATATCTAATGGATATTGCACTTTTAGAGTGCATGGAAGAACAATACAATCTTGGTCAGACCTTATTGTCACTCTATTTGATCTTTTAAAACGGTCAGCTGTACTTTGTTCTCATTTTTGTTTGTTATTTTTATTTTTTGGTAATGTCTTCCTTTTCAACTCTTGATCCTGGGCAAATCTTGGGCATTGTTGAATATAGTTATACATTTAAAAATATAATAAAAAAGAAGTCACAAAAAATAATAACGGGTATGCATTTTTAACCAAGTTATACTTTTGTGAACAAAGCAACTGAAGCATTTCCCCAGAAATTTGATAAAACAAAGATTCTAAGCAAGAAATGTTTTTAAAAAAAAAGAAAAGAAACTACTCAATTATAAAAATGTAAATAAAAAACATTTTAATGTATAAGGAGTGTCGATTTATTTGTGTGTTTTACCATGCAGTCGGCCATGGTGATGTGCTTGGCGGCTGTTTTGGGATCCACCTCCGCCAGCAGCTCCTTCACCCTCTTCAACACACTCATCTCCAGAGGTTTATTCTCAGCTGGCAGAAGAGTGGACTGGTATTTCCCCGGCATGAAGGAGGAGCTGGTCTCCACCAGGGGGAGCATGAAGCCCTCCACCCCATCTGGGGCTCCAGGGCCCGGGGTTTGGCCCTCCTCCACCCTCAGCCTCTCCACGTAGCTCTTGCAGGGAGGAGTGGGGGCTTGTCCGGGTCTCAGCTCGCAGTAGCTGCCGCCCTGCTCCGAACTCTCGGATGAGTACCCGTGGGCAGGCGTGGAGTATGTGCTAGGGGGCGTGTCCGAGCAGGGGAGGTTGTTATTGGAGGAGGACGGCGAGAGATGAGGATCGCTGGAGCGCCGCATCACTGGAGAGGGCGGGATCACGGCGAGGACACGCCCACCTGAGCCATGCCTGTGGCGGGAAACTGGAGAGACAAATAAAACAGCACTGGGTGAACTAACCCTGAAAGGGACCTATTGTGCTGTTTTTATTTAACCTGCCCTGTAACATAGCTGTGCATTACGATCTGTGCATGTAAACTACTACAATCAGCTTATGTCAGTATTTATATTACGATCTAAAAGGTTCGTAATATTATTCCTGCCATTATTTCTGTGACTTAGCAACATCAGCGTGTTATACATTTGCATGATGCCCGATGACCAGCTGCTTTAGTCAGGCCTCAAAGAACATTTGGGTGATTTTGCGATGACAAGAAGACACTTTTTTTTTCTTTTCGCTTTGAGGGCAAAAAAACATTGTATGGACTTTTAATATCAATCCCATAGTTACAATAGATAGATGATTACAGCTGTTGATAATTATGGTAAGATTATGGTAAGGAGTGTTACATATCCCACACATTCTCTAAGCGGTTGACCAGTGTGGTGGGTCATGTTTCTGACTCTAAAAATCTGACCTTTAGATTATCTAACCTTATGATAAACTTTTACCTGACTTCCCCCTTTGGGTCTAATATTACGACTAACTCTTACCTTACTTCCCTTTTAGGCAACATTTGAACAAAATGTAGTGTTTGAAACTAGTGAAAACTTGTGACTTTGGTTGTGTGAGTGTAAAATGAAACACTACAAATGTGTAACATTGAAACCTTTTGGTTACCTGGTAACAAGAGGGCTTGTCTATGAAGAACCAATCAAGTTTTTTATGTAATGAAATTATGTCGACGAGTAGACGCGCTAGGATATAGGGTTAGACTCGGCAGACATCGACGTGAAGACGCGCAAGAGTATAAATATTATAGGACGTAGTTAATGTTCTACCACACCAGTCACAACAGACTTGAGTTAGCTGACCAATCAGAGCAGACTGGGTTTTTAAGAAAAGCGGGATTTGAAGACAGGAACTAAAAAAAGAGTGTTTCAGGCAGAGAATGAAAAGAAGCATAAAAAGATGATTATCAAATAATGTGTGTTTTTTTAACTTGAAATCAATTACATGTATTCTAGCATATATTAAATTAAATTATAAATGCATAAATGCGCATATTATGGGCACTTTAAACAGTGCTACACACACACAAAAAGTTAACTTCTAAATTAAGTGTTTTTTATAAAACTCAAAAATATTATTTAACATCACTGGACCAACCTATGTACATTAATTTATACCAACAAAACATTTTTTTATAGGTTAAACCAGGTAGAATTTAGCAGTTTGTACACAGTATCAGCGTGATGAAATCTTCAGGCCCGTGCATGGACTGTGTGTACTCACTGGAGCTGTAGGCAGGGGACAGAGGGGTTTCCCCCACAGGGGACAGCGGGCAGCGGTACTCTTGGATCTGATCCATGCTCATGGCACAGTTCCTCATCGCATCCTTATGGTGCACCGTAGAGGGGCTGGAAAGGACAAACATGCTTTTAAATTCCTCACCCCTTCAGTCAAAACAATCCAGGTTTAGGTATATATAGCATTTTTGGCATCTAATTTTGGTAAACCACATACCACAGCTACAAGCCTACTAAACTACACACATTCAGTGCTATTGTGATACTAGAGATGGCATGCACAGAAGCAAGTGAAGGGTTTCCATGTGGCCACATCTGTTTGGAAAACTGAGTGAGGAGGAGTGAATGGGAGGGAGGGGGGGCTGGGGGGGGTCTGTGCCAGCTGTGAACACACACATAAACATACACACACACCAGCTGCTGCCCTCCGCTGGTTTCACCTCTGGCTCGACTGTCTGAGGCTCATCTGGCTCTGCAGACTGGGCGGCACTGATAATACAAGACATCCTACATGAGCATATCACTCCTGCATCTATGGCACATGTGTATATGGCCCATTAAAACACTGGGCACACACCAATATGCCTGATCTCAGACCTGAGATACCTGAACGCCAAGAATGTAACTAAATATTCAAGATTAGGAAACTAGGCTTATGAAGCACAAACTTCAATGGGAATTTTAGAGATAATTTTGGGAAAAACCTTGTGCCTATCATACACTGCGTGATTCTCTGTGATTTCTGTCAACTCCGACTGTCCAGAATCTGCAGAGTGGCGCAGTGTTTCCGCGACTATTGTCGACAAATATAAATATACAAATATCCTGGGTTGAAACATGGAACATGGAACATGTCCACATACTGTATATATATATATATATATATATATATATATATATATACACAAAACAAAACACAATTTTTTTATTTTGGTACTCTGAAACAATTTAACTCCTGGTGGTCCCTAAAAACACTAAATGAATATGGTCCAAAACAAAACAAAACAAAACAAAACAATGTTATTTTGGTACTCTGAAACAATTTAACTCCTGGTGGTCCCTAAAAACACTAAATGAATGGTCCAAAACAAAACAAAACAAAACAAAACAAAACAAAACAAATGTTATTTTGGTACTCTGAAACAATCTAACTCCTGGTGGTCCCTAAAAACACTAAATGAATATGGTCCAAAACAAAACAAAACAAAACAAAACAAAACAAAACAATGTTATTTTGGTACTCTGAAACAATTTAACTCCTGGTGGTCCCTAAAAACACTAAATGAATGGTCCAAAACAAAACAAAACAAAACAAAACAAAACAAAACAAATGTTATTTTGGTACTCTGAAACAATTTAACTCCTGGTGGTCCCTAAAAACACTAAATGAATGGTCCAAAACAAAACAAAACAAAACAAAACAAAACAAAACAAAACAAAACAAAACAAAACAAAACAAAACAAATGTTATTTTGGTACTCTGAAACAATTTAACTCCTGGTGGTCCCTAAAAACACTAAATGAATGGTCCAAAACAAAACAAAACAAAACAAAACAAAACAAAACAAAACAAAACAAAACAAAACAAAACAAATGTTATTTTGGTACTCTGAAACAATTTAACTCCTGGTGGTCCCTAAAAACACTAAATGAATAGTCCAAAACAAAACAAAACAAAACAAAACAAAACAAAACAAAACAAAACAAATGTTATTTTGGTACTCTGAAACAATTTAACTCCTGGTGGTCCCTAAAAACACTAAATGAATGGTCCAAAACAAAACAAAACAAAACAAAACAAAACAAAACAAAACAAAACAAAACAAAACAAAACAAAACAAATGTTATTTTGGTACTCTGAAACAATTTAACTCCTGGTGGTCCCTAAAAACACTAAATGAATGGTCCAAAACAAAACAAAACAAAACAAAACAAAACAAAACAAAACAAAACAAAACAAAACAAAACAAATGTTATTTTGGTACTCTGAAACAATTTAACTCCTGGTGGTCCCTAAAAACACTAAATGAATATGGTCCAAAACAAAACAAAACAAAACAAAACAAAACAAAACAAAACAAAACAATTTTATTTTGGTACTCTGAAACAATTTAACTCCTGGTGGTCCCTAAAAACACTAAATGAATGGTCCAAAACAAAACAAAACAAAACAAAACAAAACAAAACAAATGTTATTTTGGTACTCTGAAACAATTTAACTCCTGGTGGTCCCTAAAAACACTAAATGAATATGGTCCAAAATAAAACAAAACAAAACAAAACAAAACAAAACAAAACAATGTTATTTTGGTACTCTGAAACAATTTAACTCCTGGTGGTCACTAAAAACGCTAAATTAATATGGTCCAAAACAAAACAAAACAAAAAAACAGGCACTATGAGTTAGCCACATACTAGTTGTGAAGACGATGATGGTGAAGGTCTACCTGTGAGGAATGATCTTCTCTGTGGTCAGTCCATCGGTCATAGTAACACTGCGCCTCTTGATGTGCGCCCCCCTCTGGGCCGATGGTGAATGTGCAGATCCTGGTCTTCCACCAGCTAAAGCAAACGTCGCCTCCAGGTACCTCAGCGGCAGCGTTCGGTTGACCGGACACAGCAGTTGGGCTCCGGTGCGCGGGCACACGGGGCGACCCGTGCCAGCATGGTGCCTGACCAGTGTGGGGACAGAGTCGAAGCTCTCATGCTCCAGCATGTACTGGATTTTGGTTTGTCCGCTTTTGACCAGGACTTTACTGATCCGACAGTGGATCACTTCCTGTTGCCAGCGACACGTGAGCACATAGTCGCCCACGGTCGACAGGGAGTCCCGTACGAGGAAGTCGCCGCTTCGTAGAACCAACGTTTCTGAAGCCTGTTGATACAAATAAAACAAGAGGGTTTATTAATAGAAGAGCTGGACTCAAACCCACATTTCCCACATGAGCACCACAGCTCAAAATATCAGAGGGATACTCCACTTTTTTTGGAAATAGGCTCATTTTACAACTCCCCCAGAGTTAAACTGTTGAGTTTTACCGTTTTTGAATCCATTCAGCCGATCTCCGGTTCTGGCGGTACCACTTTTAGCATAGCTTAGCATACATCATTGAAGTGGACAAGACCATTAGCATTTCTAAAGAAAAATGACCAAAGAGTTTCGATATTTTTCCTATTTAAAACTTGACTCTTCTGTAGTTACATCGTGCACTAAGACCGACGGAAAATGTAAAGTTGCGATTTTCTAGGCTGGTATGGCTAGGAACTATACTCTCATTCCTGCGTAATAATCAAGAAACTTCAATGCCGTACCATGAGAGCAGCAGGCGTAATGATATGACGCAGCGCCTGAAAATAGTTCCGTTGTGTTGACGGAAGGTGGCCTATTTTCAGGCGCTGCGTCATATCATTACGCCTGCTGCTCTCATGGTACGGCATTGAAGTTTCTTGATTATTACGCAGGAATGAGAGTATAGTTCCTAGCCATACCAGCCTAGAAAATCGCAACTTTTCATTTTCCGTCGGTCTTAGTGCACGATGTAACTACAGAAGAGTAGAGTTTTAAATAGGAAAAATATAAAAACTCTTTGGTCATTTTTTTTTGAGAAATGCTAATGGTCTTGTCCACTCCAATGATGTATGCTAAGCTATGCTAAAAGTGGTACCGCCAGAACCGGAGATCGGCTGAATGGATTCAAAAACGGTAAAAACTCAACAATTTAACTCTGGGGGAGTTGTAAAATGAGCCTATTTCCAAAAAAAGTGGAGTATCCCTTTAAGATAACTGCTAGGTCTGAGACTACCAAATTTATAATATATATTTATTTGTGAGTTTACAGCAAGTTTCCTTGTTTTAAATGATTAGAATCCTATTTTTTTTAATATTTACTAAATTTGTTTTTGAATTCCAAATTTTCTCTTGAATCCCAAATGAGATGACAGACTGTTGGACTGTTGGACATTCTGGAAATGTTCAATGAATGAATGAATGGATGGATGGATTGATGGTTGGAATTTCTCCCAGAAAATTCCAGTGAAAATGTAGCAATTTTTATTTTAAATTAACACAAAAAAAAAAAAAAAAAAAAAAAAAAAAATAATTTCTATGGTAATCAACAGCATTTTTTTTTTTTTTTTTTTTTTTTTTTGTGGTAACATATTTTTTACTACACGCTGTTGGCAACTGAATCAACAGAAATAACTTGTATATTTTACACAAGCACATTTTAAGAGAAAGTTGATGAAATAACACAGAGTCTTAATGTGATGCATGCCTCTGCTCCAGCAGATGGCGCAACAGTACATTGGTGAGGTCAGAAGTGCAGCATGGGGGCGTATCGCCATGGTGACTAGCTATAGTTTTAATAGAGAGGGCTGGAGTTTGTCTTTACTCCAGCTTGAGCAGGAATACATTATGCTAATGCCCAGATGGCTGCTCTCATAGTAGACTCAGTGTGGGCTGCAGTTTTTCGCCTCTATGGTGCAAAAAAGGACACAAACATACTTACACACACACACACACCAACTGAAAACCCCAAATAAACATGCACAAAACAAGCAAATATAAAATATACAAACAAATATATAAAAGGCACACAGAAAACACTCTAAAAAGGCTAACAAAAGTTCTAATTTACCAACTTCTCCAGTTGCATGCACAGTTGCACACTGGTTTTAATATCATGGTGTGGACTTCCCATTGACGTCCATTGTTGTCAAAGTTGAAGTGTGTAATCTTTTTGAAGTTTAAATACTGTCTTCCATTCCAGCTTAACATGCAGAGACAACTATAAGTCATTTGTAGGCGGCTTCCCCGAAGAGTGTAAACACTGGCACTTTCAAAACATTGCTCCAAGAACAGATTGGGATTTTGGGAAGCATAGCCATAGACTGCCCACAGTCCTTTCACGGAACATGTGATGCATATTGCACACAAACACTGACTGAAATCAGCAGTTCAAATCTGATTGGCTAGCTGTACACAACTTTCAAGGACAACTTTTAACTTTCAATGGTCTGCCTAAGAAAAGGTATAGTGATGATGCAACATGCATTCTAAGGATGGAATAAATCCCTGTATTTGCCAGATTAGTGCTATTAAATCTTTAAAGTTATTCTGAGTTTTGTTTGAAGTTCTTAGTGTCAAAAAAAAAAAAAAACTAGAGCAGAAGTGTCTATTTAAAGGGTTAGTTCACCCAAAAATGAAAATTAACCCATACTCACTCTCACGCCATCCTAGGTGTATATGACTTTCTTCTTTCAGCACAATCAGAGTTATATTAAAAATATCCTGGCTCTTTAGAATGGAAGTGAATAGTGCCAGAGTTTTTGCGCATCCATCCATCTTAAAAGTAATCAATACGACTCCAGGGGGTTAATTAAGACCTTCTGAAGGGAAGCAATGGGTTTTTGTAAGAAAAATATCCATATTTAAAACTTTATAAACGATAATCACTGGCTTCCACGTTCACGAGAGAGTCGAGTTCCGGCGGAAGAGTGTCCTCTGACCCGATCGGAAGCCAGTGATTATAGTTTATAAAGTTTTAAACATGTTTTTTTTCTTCAACCCATAGCTTTACTTCAGAAGGCATTTATTAACCCCCTAGAGGCCAGGGTATTATTTAATTCAACTCCGATTTATGCTGAAAGAAGAAAGTCACATACATCTAGGATGCCTTGAGGGTGAGTAAATTATAATGGAATAATTCTCATTTTTGGGTGAACTATTCCTTTAAGTTTTGTTCAGTTATTTTTTGGTCCATTATTGTAGTATAATCGATTTCCGTGATTTCCGATTCCATGAACTGTGATTGGTCGGTTTACACGTCAGTTAGGCAGTCTATTTCTGTCTAAAGGTCTCCTCTCAAAACACCTCTCAAAATGCTTGCTACGAATGCGAAAAACGCATAAAATCGAAACCCAATCCGAATTTATTTATGACGGACCAAAGTTTCGGAGGAAGATTGTAAACGTGATTGACACGACGTGAGGTCGTATTTATTTTTTAACGTGCGAAAAGTTCGGACGAGAAGTTCGGACTCAGTGTGCAAGGCCCTTAAAGGGTTAGTTCACCCAAAAATGAATATTCTGTCAGTAATTACTCCCCTCATGTCGTTACAAACCCGTAAGACCTTTGTTCACACAAATAAAGATATTTTTGATGAAATCTGAGAGCTTTCTGTCCCTCCCTTGAAAGCAACGTCATGGCAACTTTCAAGGCCCAGAAAGGTAGTAAAAACATTGTTAAAATAGTCCACGGGTTTGGAACGACATAAGGGTGAGTATTTAATGACAGAATTTTCATTTTTGGGTGAACTAACCCTTTAAGTGGGAGGTACTAGGCTAGAATAGGTTGCAAAGTGGACCAGACCTTATGCCGTTTAGTCAAAATTCTGTCCGCTTGAGAAAGTGAACATTGTACCATAGCAAAGCAAAACTTGACCCACCTCTCGTGGAATATGGCCATGGTACCAGCCGTGGCTCCTCATGTCACTGCTACTGAGTTTGAGTTCCTCCTCCAGCTCCTTCCTGAGCTTCTCCGGGGGCGACTCCAGCAGGTACTTCTCCTTGGAGAACTGCGAAAAACACACAAAACCAGCACATAAGTCACACTGACCTACATCATCAACACACAAACATGTAATAAAGCAAACTATTGATCATTTAAAATAAAAACAAAACATTCTTGAACAAGAATTGTAAGGTTTATTGCCTCACTTATCAAACTGACATATCAATCCATATGAGAGATTAAAAAGTAATTTGAGTCACATAGAGCCTCATTGCACATATTTCTTCTTTATAATTTATGTAACATCTAACCCCGCTGCTAGAAAACAAATAAAAGCATACAAAAACACACTGCAGGATGAGGCTTCATTGTCTCGCCCAAAAAACAACACTGTCCCAAGTGTGTCTGTTTAGACAGCAGAGAAATAAAGCGTAATCTATGTGTGTGACAGTTCAAGGCGAAGGTCTCGACCCTCTGCGACACAGGAAAACTAATTCAAACACGGGCAGCATTGTAATGAGGTCAATAAAAAAGACAACGGACAAAGCTAAGGGCGCTAACAGGGCTCAAATGCCTCCGCAAGGCTGTGAATATGGGAGATGTGGGATCAATTTTGTAGTCCTGGGTCACTCTAATGGTCTCTTCCTCTCTCTATCAGAGGTAAACTGATTAAACATCTGCTTCCTTTCCCTCTTCGACTGTCTTTTACACACGGGAACAGGAAAAGATGCTAGATTTCAGCAATCCCACTGTCATTTAACCAGTTGTGTGTGCATGTGTGTGTAAAGTGTATAAAGATAGTGAGGCAAGGTCAAGTGTAGGGACTTATTGCTTTTGTCTCTGCCTCCAGGGGCCAAATCTTCCACCTGGGACCGACCAGAGCTCTCTGTAATCTCATATAGGCGTCTGTAATTGTCTTTTGCTGCTTGAAGATGGCCACAAGGTACGATATTCTGTCTCATATATTCTCGATTTAGGTCCAAAGGGAAAACCCAGTGTGCAAGTGATAACAGGACTAAGCTGATATGAGGAGTTCATATTGTCTTATGAGAGGTGCCTTTCACAGGAGACCCTTTTCCAATTTTCTGAAATTCTTTCCTCCAACTTTATTAGTGTTTATTTAAGGAATGAGCTCAGTTGTTTACATAAAGTTTTGCACATATTGTGTTTCTGAGAGAATATTTAGGTGAGACAAGATGAGACAAGGCAAGGAAAAAAAGATGAGCTAAGAAAAGCAGCAAGGCAAGACAAGATACAAAAAGAAGAGATGAATCGAGACAAGAAATGAAGAGATGAGACAAGATGAGAGGAGACATGAGAAAAGACTACGAACTGAGGTGATATAAGACAAGAGCGAGACAAAACAAGGCAAGAAAACAAAACAAAAGTAGAGGTGAATCGAGAAAAGAGACGAGACAAGAGAGATGAGATGAGAAAAGACGAGATGAGATGAAGTGAGGTGAGGTGAGACAAGTGCGAGACAAAACAAGGCAAGATACAAAAAGATGAAGTAAATCGAGACAAGAAAGGAGAGATGACACAAGATGAGAAGGGACAAGATCAGAAAAGACTAGACGAGAAGAAGTGAGGTGAGATGAGACAAGAGCAAGACAAAAAACAAGGCAAGACAAAATAAAAAAAGAAGAGGTGAATCAAGAAAAGAAGAGACCAGATGAGAAAAAAAAGAGATGAGATGAGAAAAGACAAGACAAGATGAGACAAAGTGAGGTGAGGTGAGACAAGAGCAATGCAAGACAAGACAGGGAAAGATAAGATTAGAAAAGAAGAGGTGAATTGAGACAAGAAAAGAATATGAGACAAGATGAGAAGAGACGAGATCAGAAAAGACAAGACGAGAAGAAGTGAGGTTAGATGAGACAAGAGCAAGGTAAAACAAGGGAAGACAGAATATGAAAAGGTGACATGAGACTAACAGAAGAAAAAGGGATAAAAGACAAGAAATAAGATGAGGCAAGTAAAAGAAGAGGAGAGGTGAGGGGAGACAAGATGAGAAGAGAGCAAGCAAGGCAAAGGCAAGACACAAAGCAAGGAAAGAAATAAAAAGAAGAGGTGAGATGAGATCATGAGATGATTAAAGAGATGAGCCAAGAGAAGACAAAGTAAGGTAAGATAAAAGCAAGACAAAACAAGGTAAGGCAACATACAAAAGGAAGACGTGATTCAAAGAAAAGAAGAAATGAGACAAGATGAGAAAAGCAGAGACTAGATGAGAAAAGGGCCAGATGGAAAAGAAAGAGATGAACCAAGACAAGAAAAGATTAGACAAGATGAAAAGAGAATGAACTTGATGAGCAAAAACAAGACAAATTTAGGTATGATGAGACAAGAGCGAGACAAAACAAGGCTAGAAGACCACAAGCAAGGCAGGAAATAAAAAGAAGAAGTGAGATGATGAGAGGATAAGAGACGAGGCAATGCGAGGTGACATAAGGAGAGATGAAAAGAGGTGAGGTGAGATGAGACGAGAAGATTAGGCCAAGACATATCATGGCAAGATGAGAAATGAAAGAAAGCTGTGGTGAGATGAGACCAAAGAAGAGATGAGACAAGCCGAGAAGAGATGACACCTGCAAAACAAGAAAAAAGGAGAGATGTGATGAGAAGATGTGAGGTGAGGTGAGATGAGACAATATGAGATGAGACGAGGCAAGAAAAAGAAAAAGCAATCATTGCGACAAACGAAAAGAAGAGATCAGAAGAGACAGGAGTTCTGAAGAAGCTTTAGCATGCAGGTATTGCCATTTCTGCAGAGATTCACTCATTAAAGAGCCTGAAGAGAGATTGAATGAGATCAAGCTGATTTCTGCTTTCAAACCCTGATGTCTGAAGACTCCAGAGAGACACCTGCGCTGTTTCACGTCCCCTTGCCCCACTTAGAGCTGCTCCTGGAGGGCCAAAATGTCTTTCTCACTGCCCTCTTTCTTCCACAGAGAAAGCACTTCTGGCAATCTAATGAAGCGCATGCTGGGGGAAATGACATGACCACATGCACACACACACACATACACAATGTAACCTCTACAGAGGCACAGGGACAGAAAGAACTTCAAGATATGAGGAGATAGAAAGACCGATAGAAAGGGGGTTATAGGACCGATGCTGACCCCCCCCCAGCACTGAAGCTCTGGTTGTCATGGAAACCTCCTATTGTGTGAGTCCGCCCTATCGTGTGTATCCTGCACCACACACACACACCTCAAGCATTTTACAAAGCAAGAGGGCAATGCATTGTGGAAAAACAAAACAATTATACTTCCTGGAACATGATGCAAAGAGACAGAGCTGACGGTAAACTTTTTGGGATATAAAATCTATACTTCCCAGCAGTCCAGTCCAGTAAATGTGTTATGTTGGGGGAAACCTGGATGTCAATCATTTAAATATGCTTTTCCAATGGACATATAAACCAGAAAACATGGGTTGTAGGCCATGGTCCAGATTCAGACCCCAGTCTAGACCACAAATCATTTCTCATAGAAGTATATAAAGAAGTATTTTCCCATTATAAATGACAACTTAAGGTATCAAATGCACACTTTCACGTCTAACCTTGTGTAGTTTCGGAGAGACTACTTTGTCTTTTCAGGATTGATTATTTCTTTTTTTTACAAAGTACTAATGCTGCCAACTTGGAAATGCACAATAATGCACACTGCTCATTCTATTTAATAGGGATATAAGCCATGTTTGCAAAGAGGGAAATGGAGACTGGACCTCCTGAAACTTTAATTGAATACCTCTGACCTAAAATCTCAAGATAGAATGATATATCGAGCGAACTGTACTTCAATCCTTCATAACTAAATCTGGCATCTACAATAGGATGCTCACTCTCTAGAAACAATATCTTTTTTTAAAATAATTCTATTTGTGTTACAATGCACCATGAATTCTTATGCTTGGAAACCTTTTAGACAAGGTTGACATCAGAGCCTCAAGGGTTCTGGATCACTGTCGGCCATGTTATTTTGAGTTAAACTGAACAGCAAACAGAGATTTTAGTTGATTTGTGAATTTGGCCTCCTTTTCCATCTTGTGGGACACATTTGACTGAAAATCTCATGCACAAACTCCATCCAATTCTGAGATGATCTTCAGACCCCCATGGCTTGTCATGAATTACATCCAGCCGTGATTCATCACCAATTTCCCTCAGCACCCCCATCCTCTTCTTCCACCAATCAAAGCGTTCCATCTAACCAGACCCCCACCCACCTAATTCTATTTCCACCAATCAGAAGAACCTTTGCAATCACTTAGATCGTGTGTGATTGAGTGCAGCTGCCCCTCTGGGTGAAAGGAACGCCATAGACGCAAAAAAAACCATTAGGCTGACAGGAACCGCAGATATGGCAGATAAAGATTCACAGGTCAGCGCCTGCCATTGAGTCTGCTCTCTGGGGTAGAGCTAATCCAGTCGGCCCAGCTGAGCAATGACCCAATGCTTTGAGAGATAACAGGACAGCTGGTGTTAAAATCACCTGCCACACTGACGTGGAATATGATTTAGACCATAAAAGTAGAGCACAAAAGTAGATGTGAATGCAAGCAAGAGGTTCCTTAGTACATAATGTGCATTCTTGAGTAACTGTGGTGGTAACACACCTCCGTACGGAAGGGGGGCGCTAGAGGTACCTTCGAATGTGGCATTACTCTTTAGGTAGCTAGCTACAAACATGACGACAGTTCACCCAAAAATGGGTGAGGTCATGGTGAGGTGGTAATCACTGTATTTTTTTTCAATTTCGGTGAAATTTCGCAGATAAAAAAGTAAATTGTTTATTGTAGTGATGTATGAAGAAGTCACTTTCAACCCAAGCAGCTTTGCGTGAATCCACATGACCAAAATCTGGATGGGGAAATCCTTCACCCTCACAGGAAATTTCTGATCGTGTGTTTTGCTATTGAAATTACTCTATTTTGGCCACAAATTTGCACTAAATTGGAATAAATGTGACCACACCTTATATGTCGTACAGGTTTGGAATGACATGAGGGTGATCGTAAATGACAGAAATTTTTTGGGTTTAACTATCTGTCATC